AACAAAATCATAGATATTCTATCTGTGATGTGTAGGAACCTTAATCAGCTGCAGTTATAACTGTAAATATAATCAAATTTTATTATTTAAAAAACAAAATCTTTCATGTAAGTTAGCTTACTATTCAGACAGTAGTTAAACTTGATTATAATAGACAAAATATTGAGTACAGTTTTATAAAGTATCAATAAATTGAAATGAAAGTCACTATTTTTTAAATATGCAAATAAGATTATCTATTTAACAAACTATTGGGAGAGATTTTCAATAAAAAATACTAAAAGTACGTGGCAATTAAGATACAAACGAGATTAATTTTTCCAATCACCTTCGTTTCGAAAGAAAAATACGAAACAATATGAAATCTTTTTCATTAGAGATAAAGTTGAATTCTTGCTTTGTGTTCAGTTCATACGTACTATTTCAGATTATATAGTCGCAAAAACAAACATGTAAAACAAACAAATTGTAGATTTATTTTCAACAAAGAAAGTCTTTCGGATGAATTCACACACCACACTTAGTGCGCCTAAAGTTTTTGGCTGTCACTCAAAGATATTGGTTAGTAGTCTGAAGCTTTGTATGGCTACATCAAGATCTGGTTGACTGCTGAAACTTTTTGCTTTACTTCTGATCGACTGCTGTGAGATCGAAAACCATTCCCTATCTTCCAGACATATAAGTCACTACCTTGAAGCTTTTCTCAAGCATGTAACGCATTGATCTGTTCTCTGAAATTCTTGCACCCTCTCTAAAACATTTCTTTATGTTTAACCAGCTTTTGCACTCACTCACAGATATTCTGTGAATACTAAAGGTTTTGCTATTACATACACAAATAGTAGGCTTCTGAAACTATATGTTCTTGCTCTCAGAAATTCTTCTTGATGTGAAAGCTTTCGCTGTCATCCAAAGACATTGCTTCGCATCATAAACATTATCGCGGCTACTCTAACACATTCATTGGTTCTTTGGATTTTGTTTTACTGTTGTGCAGGTGTGGGTGTGGATGTGGGTGAGTGGGTGTAGGATGGGACTGTGGTTGTTCTCTTCATTTACACCCTCACCCACATCAATTGTACACTCACACCCACCCCGTCACGAAGGGACTGGATGCTAATATAGTGTCGAAAGTTGACTGTCATATCAGAAAAAATACCGAGATTCGGCTGACGTCGAGATCTCCAGAACGATTTGTCAGGTTGTATATTGAAATGCAAAAGATCACGTGGCTTTCTTTGGCTATATTCGTTCCGCTAATACAAGGATTTGAAGTAACTGTGGTGGATGATAATATTTTGATCTATGGTGTTAAGGAAACCGTGGTATTAACGGGGACAGAATCGACATTAGTTCGAAATTTCGACGAAGAATTGAAAAAGCAAAGAAGAGAACTTGGACAAATTTCTAAATTAGCGAAGTAATGGCAGAACTGCCTATTTTCGTAACGAAAATGTCGAAGTACGTTATATTGATGAGTTAACAAAAAAACTGAACTCTTAAAACATACTCAGCTATGAATTTCCTATCATTGCAACACAACTCTTTGAGCACTCATCGAGCCTCCAGAAACAATCAGAACTAACCAATGAATTCCATATTAGAGAGAAGAGTGTCTTAGAATAATACGAAACATGCACATCACGTCCTTGACGAATAGTTGATAAAAATATCACTCGGTCAATACTTTCAAACGTTACACCTTGTGAAACTGCTTTCCAGCTGTCTCCACCACTCTCATCCTCACCCTCAGGATGCAGCACCTAAGCAATATCATGAGTAGCGGAAGGAAAAAAACCTTGAGACTCATTGTCGCTACTGCCTATTTACCACTATTTTTCTATTCTGTCATGACTCACCCTCTGCAACATTCTTACACAACAACATGCAATGCATACATTGCTTTTGTTTCGTTGATGTTGAGCAAGAAAAATGTTACAAGTAAAACAGATTATTTATCACTATTCGATAGAGTGCATGTTATCATGGCTAGTAAATTTGAAAGCATTCCAAATGAAATATTTATTGAAATTTTATCTTACATCATTTGCACAGATGCAGTCATTGCATTTTCCAATTTGAACCTTCGTTTTCAAAGTTTACTCGATGAACTTTGTCTCAAATTTGATTTGACATCAATCAATAAGAAGAACTTTGATATCGTCTTTCAATATCAGAATACCAACCGATGGCATTCATTGAAGCTTTCCGATGCTGAGCATACACCAGGACAAGTGAGCTATTTCTTCGCAAACCATGCTCTTCCTGATGGATTCTCTCAACTGCGATCTTTATCTATCGTCAACACAATGCACAATCATTCTTATCCGCTATTTGGTCAGCTTCCATTCCTTTCGAACTTGGTATCACTTGAAATTGAATCAATTTGCGGAGATAATATTCCAGAATTTGAACTTCCGAATTTGAAAAAACTTATTTTCACTTCATGTCCCAATACACGTTGGCTCAAAGTAAGATGACAGTTAAAGTTTATCGAACTACAAAAAAAAAAGTATTCTTTTTCATTTCTACAGAATCTAACTGAACTTGAAATGGTCACATATACAATGGCAGGTTGTTGTACGAAGGACAGAGTGTTAGTATGGCCACACACATTAAAACTTCTCAAGATCGTTTATGAAAATTATCGAGATTGTGCACTCATTCCACAGTCACTCATGAATCTATCTCAATTAATTGATCTTGAAGTATATCAGAGAGAACCAGGAGGACCCTTTCCCTGTGGTGAAACATGGGCACAAGTGATATCTGCATCGATTCCGTCGTTGAAAAACTTCAAGTTCTATTTTCAATTCATATGTCATGATCGACAATTACATCAACTTACACAAGTTGTAGCATCCTTCTCTACGCTATTCTATACGCTGGAAAAGAATTCCTTTGTACGTTGTGATGTATCTGCTCGGCATGAAACACCTCTACATGATAAAGAATATGGCACATATAATACAGATATGAGACACGTCATTCTCTATACTATACCATTCTCTTTCGAAATATTTACTGTCTTTAAAACTTTTTCAAAAATGAAGAGTTTAGATTGGTCGAGAAACGATATTGATTTTGGGAGTATCAGCATGCGCACAAGTATCAAAACATTGGTCTTCAAAAGTTATTCAGTACCTAATTCTATGTTTGATCAAAGTTCTGTCATCAATTTGATGATCCATACTTCTTTCAATGCACTAGCTTGGACTCATATCTTGACCAAATTGCGACGCATCACTATTGGCGATGGGACAGCATTATCATCAGAAGATTTTAATCTTCTATTGAATAATGCACCACATCTGTGTTCATTAACCGCGAAAAAGAGTACACTAAAAATACTGACCGATAATTGGACTGATATATGCGTCTGCCGTCGTCTCTCACGAAAGATTCGTTCATTAACCCTTAGTTTAGATCGAAATACATTGCAATGTTTTGAGAAAAACGAACTTGAAAAAATCTTACTCATTTTCTCTTCACAATGTCAGCATTTATCGTTGGGTGTTCATTCACACAGCAATACAATTGATTTCATCTTACGTAAGATGCCTCATCTGATCAGTCTACATGTGCACATCCAACGAAGAAACGTTTCACCAATGACGATTGAGTGATTAGAAGAACAAAACACACGATTCAATCGTACAAACTGCATTATTACGAGTGTTGGGCACGGTTATTCTTTTTGGCTAGGATAATCGCGATAATGAGACGCAGGAGCATCTGATCAACTTCTTATCGAGCTTTTACAAAGAGACTTATGGAAATAGTCTCGCATAATTGAAGATGAACCAGAAAAAGGCGTTCCGTGTTTATTTTCTAGAGGGAAGAGAATTAGACGAAACAGAGGCGTCATGGAATGGTTTTAGTAGAGAAAATAAAAATGTGTGGTAGAGGAAGTTGTAGATTCGTTGAGAAACAGATTGATCTGTGTTTTATTTCAATACTAAACCAATCGATTGATCTCAGACTTTACTCAGGTTTGGATAACTTGATGGCTCTATTAGTGAATATTGATTGTCACGCTTTATTTTTTCATAGAGCTCGAAAGTATGAGAGTGTGGGTGTGGATGCATGCTAGCTTTCCCCAGACCCACACCCGCATCCATATAGGTGCAGGTTCCATTGGTCACATGAGTTTGGTTTCCAATCACTACGAAGAAAGCCTATGGTCGATGCAGAACAGCGCAGGAAGCAATGATTGTTTGGCATACTAGCGTGAGACGCCAAATGTGGAAGAGATTAGCGTGATTTTTACTCTCTTGGCTTTTAACTTGATGTACTCTGATTAATCCAATTAAATAAAATTCTAGAATAAATTATAGTAGTAATTCGCATGAAGACTCAACTGCTAGTAGCAGTCATCCTTCAGATTCGCTGACTCGTTGTCGAAAGAATTCCTGAGGATGAGATGAGGGTCTTTTATAAGAAACTAAAAATACTATATTCGAGTGAATTTTTTTCTGGCTCTTTTATATAGGCGGATCGATAGAGCATAAAAAGATAATATTTAATTCAATTTAACCATTGTTGTTTGACTGAGAATAAATGTAGTATGTCTCATACGAACTGTTTTAAAATAGTGTATTCGGAATCAATGTAAAAAATTGTATCAAACGAAAGAAAGTTTTCTTCTTACGGAAAATTGACTGTTGAGTGACTACAAGCAAAATTTAAGAAAAACAATACCTGAAAGAGGCCATAGGTTTATTTTTCATTGTAAATATACTACATCTATACTCATTCAACTTTCTTATAGTATTTCTAGCTAAACCGTTTGAATATTGCCATTTCGGCATCTTATTTCGTTTCATATTTATAAAAGTAATAATTAATTCATATAGTATCTTTTTTATTGTTTATTATTTAAAAAGTTAAGACAAACGAATAAATGTTACATAAATATTCTCTTGATATTTGTATTTGAATAAAAATTATAAACAGACGATGATTATATTTACTCAAAATAAAATTTAACATTTTATCTATTGAATATGGAAAATAGTTAATGAATAGATATATATTTATTTTTCTTCTTTCAAAACAACATAAAATAAAAACAAATAGT